CGGTCTGATTAGTCACATACTAAGGTGCATTTATTACCATCCGCAGTATATAGAACAGGATGTTGAGGAGAATATTTGGACCGAAGAGAGATGAAGTGACAGGAGGTTGAAGAGAACTGCATAATGAAGATCTTCATAAATTTTGCCTTTCTCCAAGTATAATTAGAATGATCAAGCCAAGGAGGATGAGGTGGGCAGGCCATGTAGCACGAATGAGGGAGAAGAGGAATGTATAGAGGATATCGATGGGAAAGGTAGAAAGAAAGAGACCCTCGGGAAAACCAAGACGTAGGTGGGTGGACAATAATAAAATGGATGTTCGAGAAATAGGAAGGGATGATATGGATTGGATTGATGTGGCTCAGGATAGGGACCAGTGGAGGGATCTTGTGAACACGGTACTGTACTTTCGAGTTCAATAAAATGCTGGAAATTTCTTGAGTAGCTGCACAATTGGTGGCTTCTCAAGAAGGGTTCAGCTCCATAGTGAGTGAGTGAGTGAGTGAGTGAGTGAGTGAGTGAGTGAGTGAGTGAGTGAGTGAGTGAGTGAGTGAGTGAGTGAGTGAGTGAGTGAGTGAGTGAGTGAGTGAGTGAGTGAGTGAGTGAGTGAGTGAGTGAGTGAGTGAGTGAGTGAGTGAGTGAGTGAGTGAGTGAGTGAGTGAGTGAGTGAGTGAGTGAGTGAGTGAGTGAGTGAGTGAGTGAGTGAGTGAGTGAGTGAGTGAGTGAGTGAGTGAGTGATTAAATTACAGTCACTTTTGGCCAAGGTTTATGGAACTATATGATCTGCTTTATCTCTGAGATGAGGGGCTGGAAAATAAATGCCTCATGTAACAAAACTATATTGAAAGTGATTGCCAATATCACGGATGTATTTTATAACACTGTGTAATAATTTGATATGTAAGTTGAACTTTTCCAAGAATTTGTACCTGCCGTGGTGTCTATAGCTTCCGGTAGCGTGTAGGAGCACATTTCATACAGTTCAAAATTCGATCACAGCTGTAGAAATTCACGTTTGCTATATTCAGTCTCAGTGAATGGGGAGTCACTTCTGTAAAGAGTTTAATTCGTGCTCTTATTGAGGTACGGTCTAATATTGCTTCATACTGGAATGCTCAGTGATATTTGGTTTAGAGTTGAGTTCTTTTACACTCGAAGCAACAGTCCTTATGTGTTCTGATTTACTAAATATTTAAGTAAGTGATAGTATAAAGCAGGGAGCAGAGAGAATTAACAATTTGAAAAAGGGGGGAAAGAAACCAGCGACATTAAGTTGTGAATACCATCTTGCAGTGGAATACCGATTGGAAGACTTTGATGGAATTTCGGAAACTGAATTACACCGCCCTTACTCTTAGTTGGGATGGGAAACATGGCTTGAAAGAGGACTGTGTAGTGGGGGTTGTTGGACCAAGGGAAAGGTTTCGCAAAATCGTGTGAAGGAAAGGAAGAAGAGAAAATGGGATAAAAAGGAATGTAAAGAGAGATTGCTTGGCTGAGTTTCAATGTTTATACACTCAGGCAGAGAGACAGACGTTCCTCTCTCCGTAACGAAAATGCATGCAGAGCGAAATATATGAAGCGCTTTAGAAAGCGAGTGAACCGGAAATCTGGAGGGTTTCAAAAAGGAAATTTTGTATGAAGAAATATGTACAACAGAAAACTCTATATGAAATTTCAGACCTGAGGTAGCTGTCTCGTTAATGCGACTGCTGATTTCCCAAGTTTCATGCTGAGCTGTACGTAAGATAATTATGTTATGAATGAATTCATAAGCTGATAGACTTGAAAGGATTCTGACGATGGTGTATACTGTACTTCTTTTGGCTTGTTTTGGACTTCATCCATCGTCTGGTATGTAAAAGACAAAAGACCACGACGTTTCGGAGACTGGATATGTCTCCGTCTTCAGGTGGGTAGGGAAGGATACACCTACTCACTTGGGCCCGTTAGAAAGAGCTAGTCTCAATCACTGGTCCAGTGGGGCGATCCGGTTTTGCTTCACGTCCGTCAAGAACAACTAACCAACTAACTCCAAGGAGCCGATATCTTCCTGAGAAGCCAAC